GCTGACAAAAACTCACAAAAGCTTTCACTTGATTTTTATCCACATCTTCCTCATGGAAAAAGTTTCAAATGAAAAATGCCTTTCTCACAATATATATTTTAGTAGATGTAGTATATAAATAATTGGGACAAAAAGCACAGACTGAAATTATTCATGATCCAAAACCCAATTTTCTGTAAGACATACAATATTTTCTCTCCTATGACTGTTCACCTCAGTCATTAATTGTAACTCTGAAGGCTTCACAAACATGTTTTGAAAATCTAAGTACAATACTGGTTAATCTATCATGCCAGTAATGCTGCATCTTCAGAGTATTTCAGGTTAATTGTGTTACACCTTGCATATATGGATACTATCTGTCCTTAATCATACCATACTTTTTCAGGTAACATATTACCAAACCTTTTTAAATAGTTTTCCATGCTTTCCTGTCATAGTATTAACCTTATTGGTTTACATTTTCCCTATAATATTTTTTCCTAATAACATTAAAGAGAATGAAATAAAAAATATCTACCACAATCTACCCTGTGTTTAATTTCTTTTTTTTTTTGGTATGCTTACTATATCCTAGGTAGGATTGTCACTCTTTTCTCGCTGGAATTACAGGGTGTTTTTCCCCAGCTTTCCCCAGAAGAGGGTTAGGACAACATTCAAAATGCTGCCACATCTGCCTTATTCCTTATTTTAAACCTTAGGATGTTTGTTATCAGAACGATCTTCACCACTTCACCTACTTCAGCAGATCCATATCTGTAACTGAGCTTTATTAGTAATTCCTCGCCCTGCTTGATATGGTGGAAGTGAGCCCAGTTTAGCTTAACTAGCTAGCGTCCCGTCGGCCAGGTGTCTTTTCTGGAACGCCAAAGCTGTAAGATTTGAAATGCTCTGCTGGCCTTATCCCCCATACAAACTTCTTGTTCTCAATATCAAAATCAGCCGTAACCATAAAAACACGCAGTTTTTGTGCTCCCCAAATACATTGATTTTAAAACAAATGACACAAACAAGGAGGACACAGAAACTGCTGACTCCTTCCATCAGGCATACAAAGTGTTAAATTTTGCTAGAGTTTAAAGTCTTTCATTTTAACAATGGAAGATGAAAACATGGCATAATTTATACTTAAAACAATTTTAAAAAATGGTTTAAGTCTATTGATGGAAATCTATCCTTCTTGTCTTCATTAGCAGAGCAAATACTACCTGTGCCACACAGGAGAATGCCAGTTTGCTGTACTACCAACATTGCCCGAAAGAGCCACTGAACAGGATTTCTTAGTCCTTTGAGGCAGTATCTTTGCCTAACTTCACTTTGCCCCTCACCATAGAAAAGCTGGAAACTTGAGGCAGCAACAGCACAGTGCCTGTGGAAGATGATGATCTCTCTCTCTCTCTCTCCTTTTCTGTCTAATGACTTGGGAGAAGAGGATGGGAAGAGAAGAAGAGCAGAGATAGGAACAGGAATCACTGACAGAATTACCTAAAGGCTTTAGAAGTCAATGAAAAAGCCAAGCACAGAAGTGCACATGGTGATTAACAGAACACTGCGTGAATAAGCTGCCGCCTTTTTCCATTTGGCATGGAGATGGATGCAGACCATGCCAAGAAAAGGGGGAAAAAAAGGAGGATTATAGCAATTCTCAGAGCTATCTGTCCTTCTTTTATCTCTCAACAGGAGAAGAAAGTGGCAGCACACTTTTAGGCATGATATCTATTTCCTCTTGAACTAGATGTCCCAGCAGAGACTGCACAGGAGACCACTTCCATAACAGAAGTCAAGTGATTGCTAGGAAAACTAATTGCTGCATCTCTGGATGACTAAATCACATTAACATCCCTTTCTTGAAGCACAGGGGTGCATGTTTATCATAGACACAACCAGTCCTTTATATCTAGGCTGCCACAGTGCAGGTGGAGTTTTATAATAATCTATCTTGGAATTTTAAATATTTGCACTGGAACTGTAAAGCATCTGGTAGCAATGCAGATTACACATTTTTTTAAATGCTTCTCATATTAACAATGGTTATTTGGGGAGGTTAAATGATTACTTTAAATAAATGTGTTCCTAACCTAACACTAAAGCTGTGATTCAGATGATCAAGTAGCAATTTTCCAAATCAGAATTTGTTATGAGCTTGATTTCATTATTAGGTTTACATCGCCTTTAAGTAAACAGAATAATAAAGAGGGCAAGCACACATTGAAGTACCATAATCAAACTCATATTTCCTCTTCCATTTCTAGAATCAAGAAGGTTAGGAGCAAGCCATCTCATAGCTCTGTTCTGAAACATCCCAAACAAGCACCCTCCCCAACATGCTATTGAGGATTATGATCTAAAATTTTTTAACTCAAAGCAATAGTTCCAAACTTTCTTTGCCACCATTCTGCTGAAAATACACTTAAAACCTATCCTTACACGTCTGTCCCAAATTTTGTCACTGGGGAGGATCTGAGTGATTAATGACCTCCTGGGTAAAATGAAAAGTCAGTAACAACCGATTTCTATCATACTGTAAAACTGAATCCCAGCATAATTAAATCACAACTATATCCTTGTTACAATGTTATCGTTGTTATAACACAGGTAAGTTATCCATGCACAGTACATCTCAATGTTCACAGGCATTTATTGCTCATGCATATTCATTATACAAACAGGTGAGTGGGTGCATGCAAAAGAACATGCAGAATTAGACTCTTCCCTCCTTCCAGTTTTTCCTCCTTCCACTATTCACAGCTTTTGCATGTTTCTGGTTATTTAGTAGATGAGACATTCTTAGTGGCATCTCAACATCGGTGCAAGAGGAAGTTTTGAATGACACAACCCTTCTACTACTTTTATTACAGATAGTTTAATGCAGCAGCTGCCAATATTGAAAAACTTCGATCCAATAAACTATTTTTCAAATATAACATATATATAGGCCTCTCCGTTTCTACGTTCTTCTTCATTTTTATAACTGTGATGTTTCACAATATCTTGCTGAGCTAAAATAGGTCTCAGGTAAAATTCTCAGAAGTGCCTACAGTTCCACTGACTTTAATAAGATATATGTTCTTTGGTACCGTAAGTGCTTTTCAAAATACTGCCTTTCAACTTTCTTTTGAATACTATCCTTATTTGAAATAGATTCCGGGAAATTATATCCCAGCAGTTTTCCAAGCTTTATCTAACATTGACGACCCTTAAAAAAATCCTTGCCAGATGTCTTAGGATTTCAGGTCAATCCCTTAGTGTCTCCACTGTACAGAAAGACTACATTGAAGCAGCTCTCAGAAGGCCAGACCTTGTTCCAGTGACATTTCTGCACAGTTATCACAGATTTTGCTCTGAAGTAGAGCAGGCTTCAGGGAGGTTCCCGAAGTCTGTTGCAAAGACAATAGGAGGATGCCACGATCACCTCACAGAGCATGATGATAAAAGGCCTTTTGCTGCTTCACAAAAATTTCAAAAGACCAGTAAAGTATAATTTATGATTTTCCCCATCCCTATTAAACTGGGATAGTGTTTCTGACCATAGAAGACTCTCAATTATTCTTTTATTTTTACCATCTGTTGCTACAGCATGGGTATAAGAAAGTTATTTGGAAAAAAACCCCATAAAACACTTAATGAGCAGGCAATAATTTTTGATCTCCAACTCATAATTAATGAACCCAATGTTTGTTTTAAAATGGAAAAACCAAGGCTAGACAGAAGATTGCAGGAATATTATGTTTTTTATAGACTTCAGATATAGTAAAACTACAAGAAAAACATTCCTTAATATGCTAATGAAAAAGAAAACACTGTAAGAAGAAAGTAACACTGTTGACCACAGTGGGTGGATCTGGTTTCAGATTGCAAAGAAACAGGAAAGTGATGGCTAGGCACCTGACGTTACACGTGGCTTTGGAAAGCAAATTTTTAAATTCTCTTCAGCAACACAATACTTGCCTTGAAAAATGTAGGCTTTCAGTTTTTCTGGCACCTGGGAGAAGTTGCTTTGTTCACATTTTTAAATTAAGATTGTACAATACCAGCCAGCCGTTTTGTCCATGCGTTTCAATGTAAGAGAAGGGTGTAGACAACCTATGAATGTTATTTAAGGCCTTTTTCTTTGTTTATTTACTCAAGCCAGTAAACTAAAAAAAATCACCTTGGTCCACAATGCAAGAGTGCCTTTACAGAAATAAGGAGCCTGGGAAGATTGAATACCGTAATTCCCCCTAATTTTGAAAATGATCACTGCTGAATGTTTTCTGAGGGTAAAAGTGTAATTGGTTATAGATCAATAAGTAATTTCATTCAAAAGGAACTCTTCTGTTCCTGAAAATAGAGAGATTCTTAAATCAAAATCAAACTAATACATTAACAAAGTTGAGACTAATCTAAACAACAAAATTTTATATTGCCCTAGTTACGTTTATCTCAACTGATCATTTATTTATGTTGCCATAAAAATCCAGATGCTTTCAATTTTGATTGCTAGTTATTTGCTTTAAGGCAGCTGAAATTACTTTTTTAGACTTCCTAGCTTGACAATCTTGCTTTCTGCTTAAGATTTATCATCACAAAGGAACGGCGAAATCAGAGGATAAATTCTAGTATTAACAATAAGCACAGTCAATTGTGGTACACTGTAATTCCCCCAGAAGATTCCAGATTAAATCCTTCAGGATTAATGTACCTTCCCCTGACATTGCTAAATCCTGTTTTATGTAATTAGATTGCATTAAACTGCTATATCTGTACAGGTATCACGGTATGATTTTTAATTGAAAAGCCATATAAAGTAGCACTGTATAAAGTAAAAGGCATTTTGAGAATGTCTGAGACCCTGTACAGTATGGTATGCTATAAGCCATTATCATTTAGTTCACTGTTGACCCTAAAAGGTTCATTAACAAACTACTGTATCTACATTAAAATCAAATGAATTAAAACCACACAAATATAAGAACAATCAAGACAAGAAGAAATATCTTGCATTTGTTAATAATACTTACGATATGCAGCTCTAGATAATCTCCGAGCCCAGTAGAACTGTCCACTCGTACCAACACAGCTTCTTTTTGAACAGTACTAAACCCTATTGCCAGTCTGTCCGCACGAGTGCTTGGCCGATCATTAGGAGGCCACGTGTAAGTGATTTGTCCACCACCTTTGCTAAAGATATATGTTGTTCCCGCTGTAAAAGAGAAATAAAGATAATTAGCTCACTTGCACCAATGCAAACCCACATGGAAATCATATGCTCTACAAAAATCAAGATGTTCTCATATAGCAAATGGAATCATAGAAACAAACAAGACTACATTTCAACATGAAGGGGTCTTTATCTCTGAAAATTTTGCAGCAAGCGGAATATTAGTGCTTTTTATATAGTGCAATCAACACAGAATATAACATAATTGCATATGCAGTGACTTAAAATACCATAGCTCTGATTCAGAAATGCATATCTATTCAAGATAGATATGAGTTCTTAAGCATATGCTTGGAGAACATGTTTCTGTTATGTGCGGAACAGGGATGAGTTGAACCAAATGCTTTCCCAAACTGGGCCTATGTGGAGAAGAAATCAAGTAATTTCAGTTATCTCATGACTGACAAAAAAATGCAGCTCCTTATTTACACAATGAAAATGATACGCACTATATGATATGTCATTGTGCCCAGCGAAGCAAAACGATTAACAAATACATTCAAATAAGACTTTTACGGATCTGAGGTTTATCAGCTTGTGACAGATGGGGACAACAAATGGAAACATACTTTACTTGTCATGTCAGGACAAAAAGATATTAGTCTACCATCTAAGTAAGCAATGGCTTATTTGCATAATGCTCAATGTATAACTCTTAAGAGTAGAAATCTTTGCACATTATATCCAGTGTGCACTTACAAAATCTATAATCTGTTTTAAACAAGTGTCGTAATCTAAAACAACTTAGCAGTCAGGTACTTAACTTCATCACCAGCAAATTTCCTCTGAACTAAAATAGCAGCATATCCAGATATCTTCCATTTAAAACTTGTATCCTAACAACAGCATATAGCAGGCAAATTGTGCGTGCACTTGATCTTTCATTTGTAAAGTCACTACAAGCTGTCCACTTCTTTTCTATGGAGATGGGTCAAAGGGAGATATGTCAGTCCATTGTAAATACACTAGTCTAGTTTTACTAGCTGTTCTAAGCTGGCTCACTGTGCGGCTACTCTCCATCTTATTAAATGCAATTCAGTTTATTCCACCCAATACTCTCACTACATACCTCCCATGTCCACATAAGGAAATAGTGCGTAACAACATAATTGTCATTTTCTTACTTTCTTTCAAGATTGACCAAAAATGCTGTGAGCAAAAGGATCTAAAATCCCTTGAATATGTAGACTTTTAAAGCCAAAACCAAGAAGGGCTGTATAGTTACACCACTCCTTCAACCTCCAGATGTCTCAAAATGTTACTGTACTGCTGAGTGAGACTGCTTTGTGTCAGTCTCAAAGCAAAAAGGTCACCTGGTCTTTTTGAAAAGATATCCTATATTTATTTCTAACATAATTTTTCCTTTATGGAATTACATACCTACTCATTAGTTTTTTCCAGTACCATCAATATGTAATAGTCTATGCACTGTGCATAGCACGTAAAAAAACTGTAAAGCTCATTTTAATCAACACATTTGCAGGATTGCACCGTGCTTCAAACAGATCTCTTGGCTTTTCTCTTGATGGCAAAATACCAACCTGCATGTGTTTTAGGAAAACTTGTCAACTCTCTTTAGCAAAGACAAACACAATAACAGATCTGATATCTAAGGTTTCACTTAAACTCCAAGTGAAATCAGGGTTTATCGTCACTGTAAAGAGTTGTGCAAGAGTAGTGAAGATAGGGGCTGTGCCTTCTAAAAGCTTGGTAATGGACATGGGGAAATGGTGCCTGGTTTAGGAACGTGTGTGATAAAAACCTCATCTCCTGCTCTCCCACCCTTGCTTTCCTCATATGCGGTGCTCTGAAAGGCACAATAATCTGTTGCACACTATTCAGTAATGATGGTTGAATCTCCCGTTCTAGTACATCCCAAAACAAAGATATATGAGACATTTAATATCAGTCTTGATGGTCCCTAAGTTCTCCCCTTTGCTGCTAGTGTTGACTTCAAATCTTGAGCCAACTGAGGAGTGACAGAGTTTGGACCTTCATACGGTATATGTCACATAGGTGTCTGTAGTGAAAGGATTTATTCTGTGTTGATGAAAAACTGAGGGCTTGATCCAAAGCTCATTAAAAACAGTGACAGCCTTTCTGTTGACTTCATAAAATATTGTGTCAGGTCATGAATGAGGTTCTTATAAGTAACAAAAACGAGAAAGAAAAAGAGAGAAAGAAAAAACAACTCCTTACACCTCAATGTCACAGATGAAACTGTTAGAATAGTACATAAGATTTAAGTGGGAGTGCATGATTCTCCTTTTTTTGGTTGTAACAGATGTGTTTACCCAATATAGAAGACAAAGAAAAAGCCTGCCAAGCAATGGTGGAGTCATACTGAATACAACGACCCAGAAGTAAGTCTCCAGATCTGAACAATGAGAGACTCTGTTGTTCTTATTCAGAGTGAATCTTTGTTGCAGTTTTTTGCTAAATGCTGCCCTTCAAATAAACCAATGAAGAGCAATTTGTTCCATACTGCTGCCGCATTGAAGCCAAGGTCAATGCCAGTAGGGCTAGATAAATCTAGCTGTAAATCTTAAACTACGTAGAATCAACATCAAAGTTAAAAAACTTATCTTTTATCCATGATAACATGTGGCTTATGTTTTTTTATGGCAAAGCTCTCCCTTCTTTGTAACTGTCCATTTTGTAGCTCTTTAAACTAACTGCGTGTCTGGTAACAGGTTAATTAATCCATGCTGATGAATACAGGTCTGCCTCTGTCTAAGCTGTACAGGGAGTCACGTTCTTTGAATTTCCTGTATTAATTATGGAAAAAATGGGTCGGAAGCCATTTGAGAATAGGTCCTCTAGTGTTTATATTTCAAGAAAGACAAATATAATAATGCAGAATGTATTACTCTGGGATTGATCTCAGCTTCTAGCCTGACCTCCTATTAACTATTAAAAGCTAGAAACTGAGAAGTTGTTCAAAACCACCCTGCTTACTATCAGTTTTGTATCTGTTAAGAAACAACAGAGAAAGCCTAATTCACTTGCTCCATAAAGGCTTTTATGCTCTCTGACAAACCTTATAACGTCTCTGCCGTTCTTTCAGAACATTGTCACTAAAAACCAGTCATCTTCCTTCTCTATTTTAGCTTACGGCACTGTGTTGTTTGGGGTTTATCATCTCAAGAGAATTGAAAGGAGCAGAATTAGAATGTGAAGAATAGCAATGCCATCAGCACAGTACTTGTAAGTAGGCAAGTTTGTGACACGGCAGTTATATCTCTCAGCCGCAGAATTTACTGCCTAATTCTTTATGCGTCCATGCATCTACACAATGTTTAGGAAAAATGTCCATACAGCTCTTTGAGATTCTTAACCATGAAAGCATGGTTCCTATTGTAACAAACTGCCAATGGTCAAGATACAGTAATGTTTTTTAATGGCCTGGGTCTCTCAAGTCCTACTTGTTTGCAAAATTCATCTTTATGAAATAGTGCATTCATTTCAGCACAGCCTGGCAGCAACTCAAGGACATCTGCTTACCTATACAGTATTAAGCAGATAAATATTTTGTTTAGTACCCATTTACTGTATCTATTACTCTGTATGACTGCAAAGCTTTTCAGTATTTATTGCTCTGAAGTCACATCTGATGTAGTTTAATAGTTTGCTCAAATCAACAACAAATCAACAGCTTTCTACTTTCCTCATGTTCATCCCAATTTTGTGTTTAAGGTATATTGCACTGAAGGGTAATGTACATAATTCCATTTTTCCCATATAACGTTAGCAACTTAATGTTTATTTTCAACATTCACATCAGGTTTCAGATTCTGATTAAGTGAAAGCAATGCTTTGATTGAGCTCTGGACCCCAATGAACTATAATTCCATCACACTCTATAGCTGGAAAACTAAAGACTGAAACCTCTAAGCTTCAATAATGAAAACTACTAGCTGCCCTTTCATTAATAGTAAAGCAATTTTTAAGTATTATAAAAAATATGACGGGTAAGCATTGCTGGTTATAATGAGAAATTACCCAATAATGTAATTTTCTTCCTTCTGTATGTTATCAGTACTGTACTTCATTCTTGGGCTAGAAAGTGAACCCTCTTATTCCCACTGGTAAGTAATTACTTGCATTGATAAACCTGCTGAATCCAGTGAGACTATTTGTGCAGGCTGCTATTAATTACCAAGAGTGAAGAATTTACAATATGAATCTATCTATATATATATACATTTGCACAAATATCTATATGGCGGTATTAATCACACTTGCTATGTTCAGGGAAGCATATAAATCTCCATTAATAATTATTTTTACATTTTCATCTATGTATTTTCATCCTGCCCAAGCTGAAGTTCCAGAAAAGTACACAAAATTTCCATACGTAGATTTGTACAGATTTTCTAAGGTAAATAAAGAAAGAAACGCTTCAAGCCTGAAACATGATATGCCAGGGGGAAGGAGGGGGGTGTTTCGAAATAATCAGTTTGGTGGATTAAAAAACAACTCTTCCGTGTGTCTCTTCTTAGACTGTGACGTGTTATTAATTATTTACACAGAACAGAGAATATATGCCACAGGGTTGAGGTGAGAAAGGAATGGCCATTAGGGTTAACCACGGGAAGAAGATGGGAAGAGCTGCTGGAAGAACTATTTCAAACAAAAGATCAGATTCAACTGAACACTTCCTGAAGGCATCCTGGTACACTCTCTCCCACTAATCCAGGCAGGAGCCTGAATATGGATTGTAACTGCTTTGCTGCAACAAGGACATCAAGCTTCTCTAAGTACAGTCTATTTAACAGCAGAAGAGGTGTATTGTATGGGGAAGGAGAAGATTTTCAAATGGATCGTTGCCTGTAGCTCTCCAAAAACCTTGAGCCGTAGGGGTAAGGATGGAGAAATGTCTCATTTTCTGGCCAGGTTTCTCTTAGACTCATGGATAATAGGGTCTAGGAGTTAATTTATGATGTTCCTTTGACCAGCTTGGCAAACCTTAAAGGGTCATAGGTTTCCTGGAAATTGAGCACCACTCAAAACAACTTCTAGTTAGGTCCTTAAACCAATCTGACTGCATGCTCGAGCTATGACTGTCACTAGCAGTCTTATCATGCCAGTACATTTGTCAACTGTAAGATAACAAACTGCATAGCATAATTCCTTAGTAATTCCATTACCTCATTCATTGATCTTCCATTCTACCAGAGTAACTGTAAGAAGACTCACTGACCAAACCAGTATTAACAAAGACTGTTGCTGAGTTTTGTTATTAATATCTTCATTAATAATATCATCTTGCCACTTCAGGTAAAGATGCTGATGAAAACAAAGAGAACAGAAAATGTCTGTCTGCCTACTGTCAGCCTTCTGCTGCACCCGTCTTTCACTATGCTACAGCTAAGTTCTGAAATTCAATTTTTCTGTAAAAGAGACTGAAGCCACATCACATTGACAGTGGCTGCTGCTAGCTGAATCTCCAAACTTCCAACACTATCTATGATACTACGGAGGTATCTGCACTCTCTGCATAGGTTAATACTGTGCTGATTGTAATCTAGAACTGGAGCCTATTTCATAGCACGGGACATGTCTTAAAAGTTATGGTCAAGAAGCTAGTTTCACCCAGACAATAACAAGATGACTATGACCTCAACCAGCTCAATCATCAGCTGAAGCAATTCATTAAAATGAGCCAACAAAGCAGTATCCCCGGTATACAGAAGATGCTGAAACAGAAGAGCCTTCACTTCATTGCTGCTGTCTGCTGCCTCTTCCAGTTTATTTATCAACCAGTCAATGCCAGTATTAACCAGGTAGAGATAAGACACAGCTTTCTACATTCCTTGATAAACAGAAACCACGCTATGTAGCTATCATTAATTCAAATACAACTTCACATTGTATTACAGAACTTCTTTTCCCAAACCACTACAGACACTCTGATTTGCTTTATCAGAGCCTACAAGGCTTTTCATCACACTACATCCAAGTTTTCACAGAGATTTATAAAACAGTGCTGTGCATAGTTTATTATATTCAGCTATCCCCAAGAGCTGTCTCCAGATAAAGGTCTAGGTGATAATAGAAAAACAGTCTCAAGTCA